GTCCCTGGATCGGTGGTGGAGGAGGAGGCTATTCCACGTGAACAAACCAGTCGAAAATGAAGAATAAAATTTTTTCGTTTGAGGCTTTGTTTTCGAGTAAATCGGTTTTGATTGTTCTTCGAGCACGCGTGCACTTAACGATGGCGTACAAGTGAAAAGTAGGTGAAAAAACCAGTCGAAAATGAAGAATAATTTCGTTTCGAGGCATTTTTTTTCGAGAAAATCAGCTTTGTTCTTCAATTACGCGTACACTTTCGTTATCTACAAACAGCGTTAGTATCATTCGTAATGTTGATTAGTTGTTAATAAATGTTTACTTAGAATAAGTTTAGGAAATGAGATGTCTATTAGCTACTTTATACTACCTTCAAGTCGTAGCTATTGTAAGTAAGTCAAAACTGATTTTCTCGGAAACATACTTCGAACGAAAAAATTTTATTCTTCATTTTCGACTTTATTTTTTCATGTAGGATCGCTTGTACTACCGACGCAGGGACACCCTGTATAGTTATACGAATACCGCGGGACTGTGGCGTGCCGATAAGCTTCGCAAAATTCTCGATTAAGGACGAACGGCTTAACAGCTGTCTCGTGATCCCGAGTCGCGTATTCGAAGCGAAGAATTTCGCCAAATGCAACTGTTTTAGACTCGAAATGAGTTCTGCTAGCCGAATCGTGCTGGAAGCGCGTGGATGAAATTGTGGAGACGAATGAATTAACCTTTTGCACTCGATTGTCCCCTGAAATTATAAAATTTTTTATATAAAAAAATAGGTATATAACATAACATAAAAAATAGGGATATAACATAACATAAAAAATAGGGATATAACATAACATAACAACGTAAGAGGAATAATGAAGTTTCAAAAGAGGATAGAAATAGTCGTGAATAAATTGACACTCGTTATCATCGAATTATTATTCGAATAATTCCGGATAAATGACGCAAATGAAACTTCTTATTGCTTCTTACGAAAGCTTTACAAAACGGTGAAGAAAATTTTTCAAGAGATTGAAATTACCTGAATCATCAACCTCTGCATACTATAGTTGATGAGTGCTTTAAACGGAGTCACGTATTAAAATATCACGTATTAAAAAATCAACAAAATTTCATGTTAAATACCATTCGAACAGAATGATTATTTCCAATGCTGTACCGTTTCACTATTTCGTAAATAAATTGCTGGTAGATGATACAAGAACTAGACGATGCAAAAAATGTTTTCGAGAGCAAAGAGTTAACTGTGCTCAACAAAATTGTAGAATTGTTACTGTCTGAGAATGCAGAGATGAAGATCAGTGTCAGTTCCAGTTAATATTATTTACTTAAATTATATTATTATAATTTAATATGTAATTATAATATTAGCAACTTAAATTATATTATTATAATTTAATATATAATTATAATATTATCAACTTAAATTATATTATTATAATTTAATATATAATTATAATATTATCAACTTAAATTATATTATTATAATTTAATATATAATTATAATATTATCAACTTAAATTATATTATTATAATTTAATATATAATTATAATATTATCAACTTAAATTATATTATTATAATTTAATATATAATTATAATATTAGCAACTTAAATTATATTATTATAATTTAATATATATTTATAATATTATCAACTTAAATTATATTATTATAATTTAATATATAATTATAATATTATCAACTTAAACAAGCGTTTCATCCAATAACTTGCGTTTGTTACTGGATCAATTTCTCGTTGTAATCTCTCGAGATTGATGAATTCATCTTCCAATTCAACTTTTCAGATTGAGACGATCAACAGCGTTAGATCAGTTTCAGATCGTTAGCACGTACGTGAAACTTACGCGTTCGAGTCGCGTGATCCGTTGCCTCGTTACTATTGGAATTTTCTCGTCGCATTATCACGTGTGTCTTGCGAACTTTAATCGCGTGTTTCGAACTACAGCGTACACGTGTGTCTGATTTGACGATCAATCGTTTGGCTGCCTGGAACAAGTCTGCTGTTTCTAATTATGTTAAGTTTACGCAAGCCTCGAGTTATGGCCAGTTGTCTGCCATACGGTATTACGTTCGCCGTTGAGAAACTTTTGTCATAAATTAGTGCGTTCTCTTCGTAAATTTATTTATTCGTTCAGTCTCATTGCTGTTTCGACGTAGAACTTGACATTTTTGGACGAGCATCGACTACTGTTACAGATTTCACTCAGATTTCGTCAGTTCTGTTATTAACTTTGCTCAGACGAGCTTTTATTCCTATATTTTACGAAAAATCTATTTATTTAAATTTATTTAATCGAAAGATTCATTTAAAATCTTTCAAAGTATACTGTTTTACGTTTATAAAATGTCTGACAAAAATCATATAACAAATTGTTTATGTACATTTTGATCACTTTGATGGTCCCGTAGCGTTGAAACAAACGTCCCTAGAGACTTGCGTGGCAGTTAACGCGCTAAAATCTGTTAAGACAGGATACGTGCAATTTTAGTTGCAAAAGTTCAATGAACAAAGCTACAACAACGTCACGTGTTTGCACTAGCTTTGTTGGGGCTCGTCTCGGCCTCTATCTCTCGATTTTTTTAATACGGTCTTGCAGGTGAGCGCACGATGCGTCGATTAGGTGGGTGGGCGTGCAGGCGCATCGAGACGATTCTTTTTTTCTTTTTTTTTCTTTTTCTTTCAGTGAGATCCGACATTGTCCGCGCGTTTCGTGGGTGTTCAGCCGACTCTGTTTCCTGCGGTGTGCGAAAACGACGCGCGTCACGCGCGGTTTTACTTATGTATCGCTTTGAGAAAGTAAAAGTGCCCGTCCTACGGGTCTTTCACAGACCAGCACGCAACGGGATGCGACAAAGTCCCTGACTAACCACGTCGAACGTCTTCTCCTTCCGGCTTTCCTCTCTGCCCGATCGTTCGCGAACGCTTAACCTCTTACAATTATGGCGTCGTTTTTTATAGTAGAACGACACAGTAGAAAAAAGTATATATCATTTGTAGCAGAGAAATTAAAGTGTTTAAAGGTATAAGAGAAAGTTGATAATAACAAAGAACACAAGCTTCTATTTCCATTAATATATTTTATTAAAAGTCACTCGAGTATCTAAAAATACGCTGTTATAAATATATAAAATTTCCTTATAAATAGGAAATTATAAATTGATTATTTTGACCACTTTGCTGTTAAAAGTGTGTATCTACGTTGTGTCGCTATAGAAAGACGCGATTATACTCGTCAAACCCAGAGTAGCTAAAATTGAATTGAACTATACGAAGGAAATAACATTAGTTTTTTTTGAATAATCAATAATTTTAATTTGTTCAACCTAATTAATACTATTTACAAAACTTAAACATTCGTAGTTTTCTTGTTGAACAAGTTCAAAATCACCCTCATTTTGCAAAAAATGAGTAGAAAGTTAGAGAGATGGACGAAGATTGTTAATAACGATGAAGATCAACACTGTACTAACTCTTGAATAAAATTTTGTACACTATCAAAAAAAAAAAAACGAAATTACTTAGTATCTTTTATGAAAGGAACCAGTCAAATCTACCCTCGAAATATTCTAAAATGTCTGAAATTGGCAAATACGTTTTATCTTTCGCGAGAAATTTAATTCAAGTAACAAATTTTTATGTACTTTTCTCGCGTGACGATTCTAAATGTTACACGAAAAATTTCCACTTCTTCTCGTCGTTCGCAGCCAAGAGGTTAATCCATCGCTTATGGAAATGCCCACGCCATCGTATTACCCGATGACGGACGTCTTTCGCCGTGTAGCATTGTAGTTTTAATTAATTCGTTGGCAGGCCCCACGTTTCAGCCGCTCCGCGTTGGAAGATCCCTTTCTTGGCATTCTCGTTTGGATCATGGGATGCTAGCCACAGACGCTGACGAGTTAAGTAAGACGAGTACCTCTGAGTAATTTCGCGGGATCATCGGTGCAAGGCGTGGCACGGAAAGTCAACATTTAGGATTTTCAATTTCCAACAGGAAAAACAACTGAAAATATTCGATCAGAGTAGGTTCCAACATCAATATCTTTAGTGTGTAAAGTGTACGAAAGTTTGTTTGCTTGTAGTATATCTTTAGTGTAATATTAATATAAAAAATATATATATTATGTATAATATATATTGTATAAAATATATACATCATATATATGTATTATAAAAAAAATATATAAAATATGTTATATATTATATAAAATATTATATATATTATATAGATGTTAATATAAAAAATATAATATAATATATATTATATAAAATATATATGTTATATACTATATAAAATATTGTATATATTATATATATGTTAATATAAAAAATATAATATATATTATATAAAATATATATGTTATATATTATATATATATTAATATAAAGAAATATCTATTAAATTAATAAATAAATTAATATTACAGTATAAATATTCCTCAACAATCGCGGAAATAGAAATATTTTTACGTACACGTTGATATGAATATAATCTACGTGTTTACAATATACTACAGCGTAAATAAACCGTAATGTGTGTTTTATCGTTAGATATGCTCGTACGATATAAAACCGGTGAAGCAGATATCCATGTATAGCCTGTGCGTATCTCCTCGACGACGGTTATGCGAAATTTATCGTACGATTTATAAGTGTAACTATAAATTTCGCAAGTACAGTGGCCCCTGCACTCGCGTTTCCACTTTCCGTCCCATTGAAATTCTAAGAGGATGTAGCCTCGCGTTTCTCCCGTTATTCATCAAACGGGGAAAATTCCCCCGTCTGAGAGTTTCAAATTGGCAAAAATACAAGTTCTCACAAAACGGAACGCTTGTGATTATAATATCTGTTTATGTATTCACTTCGCGTGAAACAGAAAGTTCACAGCGGAACTATATAATGCAAGAGTTGATGGTACGAGATGATCAGATTCTTATAATTATTATATATATATGTTTTTTATGGGATCGTAGGAGTGAAATTGGCAGCGTTGCGGAAATCGATAACCGTTCGCGAGAGGTGCGAAATCAAAGAATAGGACAAGATCCAACGCAGTTTTTTGACACCTTGTTGAACGTAGACAGGATACTAACACGCAAACCGATTCGTCGCAATGACGATGAATCGAGTATATACTGACATTTACCATGAAGCCTACAATTGCTTGAAAACATCGTTGTTTTTTTTTTATTGATAATTTATATTACGAATATTATACTTTTTGAAATATAAATTTCTTGAAAGATATGAATATAATATATAATATATACAGACTTATAAATAAAATATAATACACACAGTTAGACCGATAAAATTGAGCTTACTTCAGATAGAATTCTTCTAATTCTGTTTGATGTTTGATTTAGAAGGATTCGCACATTTTCCGCGTGAATCCTTTCTGTTTGTTGTTTCTCGCGTTCGTTGCAAAACTTATTTCCGCCGGCGTGGCATAAAAAACACCGCGAACGAATTCGTTTCATTTCACTTGAAAAAGCAGCTGCCCGCGAATTTTGTATTTTTTTCCTTTCTCTCAAATAAATTAAGACGAGAGTAGATAACAAAATTTATAAAAGAGCTCGAAAAATTCTGATTCTTCTCCAAGCAAGAAAGGCGCGTTTGTTGCAGTAAAAAGGAAAGTCTAGCGAAAAAAGAAAGGTTGTATTTAAAGTACGACATTGTTTTACTTTTCATATGTTTCATGTGTTTCAAGTTGACCGTGTACCGCGATTTTTCCTTGCATTTTAACACTTAAGCGAAACTTCAAGCGCTCGAAGAACAAGAATGAACGCAATTAGTAATGCCTTACTTGTTACGAAGACGCGCTCTTAATAGCACATTGTGTTTTTAGGAGGAGGGGCCACGATAAATTACGCGAACAGCAGATTTTCTAATTTGATGTTGATCCGCGGTGGAAGTTATTCTTCTCGTTTGCAAATCAAATTGTTCTTTTCGTCTGCGGCCGTGAGTGCAGAAATTCTCTCTTGATGAATTTAGTTTCCGCGATGTTCATCCGACGAATCCGCCGAATTGAAAATTTAGATTTCGTTAACGACGGCTCCATTTAATATCACGAGTTAGAAATTTAAATTTATTGATTTAAATTGATTTAAATCTTGGGAGAGTAGTAAATGCGTATAATTATTTGCCTAAATGTGTAACATCTACGTGTAAGAGCAATTTGAAATTAACGAGTATATTCGAAGTTAATTTGATTTTAACGACCATATTTCTCCGTTAATTACATCGAGCAGATTTATTATTCACCTTGCCTATTATCATTGAATAATTATTGATACAGCTTAACGCGGAACTTAATTATCGATGGGTAAGCCCAACCGGTATAAATGTAGTCGTTAGTTAGATAAAAAAATTTTAATAGGCGCAACATCGTTCTCTGCGAGCCCACGACTAACACTTCTTATGAATAATGAAAAAAAAAAAAAAAAACCCCCGATTGGTGCGAACGAGCCAAAACGTGCAAACTTGCTCGAGGCTTAGATCTCCTGACAGCATTAGTTTTAAACGTTCGTCGGGATTGTTTGTTAACTGACGATCAGTCAAGTTCAGCGAACACGGTTTTTTAAAACGCGCAGTTCGAATCGCACACGAACTTTCTCCCGTACGTCATGCGATTTCAATTAAACGACGTGCATACAACGTGTACGCGAGTACACGAGGTTGCCAAACAAGAACGAAATTTCACGCAACTTTGGCGGGAACGATTCGATTAAAAAACCTTCAGACAGTTGTGTGTTGCAACGATCGCGTGTTCCCAACAGTTTTCTTTCGCTTCGAAAGCAACTGACGCGAGGTTTGTCAAACTCACATTATTCGTATTCACGCGATTGGCTAATATCTCTTTTCTTTTTTTTTTTCGTTCTTCTTCTGGCTGACAGAAGTAAAAGTTAAAAAAAAAAAAAAAAATAGTGAACATACAAAATAAAAATTAAAACACGAAAATTTCGACGCTGAAAAAAAAAGTCCCGCGATTTTTCACACGAGAATGTACGCGAATTAACCTCTTCCGCTGGCAACTGATTCGCGGACCATAACGAGCGACCGAACCGTGTGCAATAATTCGTCGCTTTCTTCCTCTTTTGAACTTCGTCGGCATGACTATCACTGGATAGAAATTATTAAGGAGTAATAAACTGCACTTACATCGAGAGTAAAATTCTGGCAATTCCAAGAGTCATTGCATAAGAATCATTGCCGAATGAGCAAATATTGGCTGCACGTGATTCATTTGTCTTTAAGACATGACATCACTTTTTGATATTACATACACTTTCTTTAATCGGTGATCCATTTTCCAAACTTATGAGTTTGTAGAACGGAAATATTACTCGATAAATCGTAAATCGTTTAAAATAATAACATTCACAATATAATAGTAAATGTTAATATAAAATATAATATTAATTAAAATATTATATAAAATATAATAATATTAATTATTATATAAAATATATAATATAAAATATAATAATATTCGTTAACCCCTTGGCGCTGGCAACTGTTTCGCGGACCATAACGAGTGGCCGTATATAAACCGCATACAGTAATTTCTTCGCTTTATTTTCTGAACTCGTCGGTATGATATCACCGAATAGAAATTATTAAGAAGTAATAAACTTGTCATTTGTTTCGCTCAAGTTACATTTACTTGAAATATACTTAAAATTGAGAATATATTGCATAAATATTGGGACAGAAAAATTCTCGACGTGCGTCGCACGTCATTCCAGAGCGCAAGAGGTTAAAACGCGCATAGTTCGAAGCGTTCAAGGCAGCGTGGCGACAAAGCGCGACGCAAAGATAAAGAGGAATCGCGCGGACTGCAACACGATCGTTCAAAGTATTATACCGGCAAACGCAGCGCGAGTTTCTTCGTATAAATGCCGAGTTATCGCCTGATGTCGCATTCAAACTCGGACAACGCTCACCACGGCATGACAATGCCCGCCCACATTCTACTTGTGCAAAGCTGGAAAGCATCCGCAACCTTGAGCCTCCGCGTTCAATTTACCACCCCCCTCCGCCAAACAGCTTCGAATCATCTGTTCACCGTCTCTTTAAGGACGCGCTTTCAGTCGAGCTTTCAGCCGAGCCTTCTTCTATTATTATCCTATTCGCTGTATCACTCTGAATTCATCGATCGTGTCAATTTTGGGCATTTCGACTGGAATATCGAGATAGACAAGTGTTTCTTTCCGGATGTCACAGATTGGATCTCCTTCCTAGTTCAAACGCCCCTATCGGCCAGGCTTAATAAGTAATTTCTGGTTTTGTCATGGTTTGTTGGCCAGCGAACCGTTTCGAACTGCTCGGTTGTTCTTTCAACTGATCGCGCCATGGTGTTTTTGCCATTCGTAAAAGTTACCGCCAGCTAGTTTTCCTGGCAAGGAAAAAAAGAAAAGGCATACGTACATACGTATAGTCCCTCAAGATCGAGTTTCACGAATGTGTTTTATTCTCCACAGTTGGGTGGTTTGATTTATACAAGTGGAGCACCTTGGAATTTTAACTACACACAGAGTGGGTCAAGCGAGGTACAGTTGTATGTCAAAGGCTCCGTTTTTACTCCATTTCGTCGCGGCTTAGTGAAAGAAAAAGGTAGAAACAAAAAAATAACTGGATGGTAAAAACCTGGCGAAGTAACAGAGAAGATTTTCTATTTTCAATCTTTTTTATTGGGTGAACCGTGAGAGGATGTAAAGTGACGAAGCGATCTCGTTTCCCTCCGAACTTTTGAATTTCAATCACGTCCACAGACATTTTTAAAATTGCACGCGGAAGGATTATTTGGAGATCTTAGAAAGAGTAAGATCATTGTAGTCCAGTTAAATATAGACGTCATTCACATACGTCATGCAACCTTTTCTGATATTTCGCCCCGAGGCGAATGATTACTATTCTGTCTTATTGCAACGAGTGGATAATATGTCTGCGAATCGTCATGATCGATCGAAGGTGAGAAGAAAGAAAAGGCTAGTTATCTTTCGATCACGCCGACGTGAATTGGCTCTGATTCATTCACTTTGTGCGTGAAAGAATTCCAACTACGTGAAATCGCGATTATTAAAATACCATTTCTCTAAAATTAAATAAGGGAATTAAAATTAATAATTATAAATTAAAGTGCCAGCAATAGCGGTTAAACTTATTATTATAAGTTAATAATTAACAAATTTTTATTAAAATAAATAATATATATATTAAAAATTAATAATTATAGGTGAAATTTAAATTATTTTTATATATATATATATAATTTTATATATTAAAATATATGAAAATTAAATATAAAACTAGGATTAGATACCCTATTATATTAATATAAAATAATATTTTTATAATTAAATGTTGAATCATTAAAATAAAGTAATATGGCGGCCTTTTAAACTTTTTAGGGAAATTTATTATTTAATTTGATAATCCACGATAAGAAATACTTAAATTATATTTATGTTAATATTTCCACTTTGTCCCACTGTCTATTTAAACTAAAATGGTAAAATTATTCTCGAATAGCCGTGTAATCTCGCACAATGCCACCAATTTGCCGAACTCGAACAAAGTGGCGAGGGACACGGTGCGTTACGTTGTCGCGTCCATTGTTCACGCATGAACCTGGTACGTGCATACATAGTTGCTAACACTGGAAACTGTTACATGGTGGCGTGGATTCACGATTGAAATTTCGTCCGAGGAATGTTCGCAGTTGAACGTTCGTTTTCCAAGGAACAATGCGCCGTTTGCAAGTGTGTCTAACGATTCGTTTGATGTCCGAGTCGCAACGATCATTCTCGCGTCTATGTACATAAATTGTTGTAACCACAGGCCGCGAGTGGTTATTTGATACCAAAGTTGTTTGTTATAAAATGTAGACTCGCGTAAATCGACGCGGTTGTTTGCACAGGTGCTTTTTAGTAACCAGATTGCCGGGCAGCTTAAATAGATGCACGGCATAAGATAGTACACGCCTCGTGCTACATAGTTATTTCGTGTGTGATCTTTTCACATGTCTGCGCGTTGGGTTAGATTCTGGAAATACTTTACCCCGTAAATAGATTACGCACGGTGTGTTTTACGAATTTCAACGTGTTGTTTAGGGTAGTAGTAAAAGTTACACGGAGGGATCAAATGAGTACCTCGGCGTTGCT